TAGCTTAAGATGCCGGGTCTTGTTGAAATGGAATTCTTTTGACATTTCCAGGGACTTTTAATATTTCGTTAACACTGTTTTTGTTTGAATTAATATGTAGGATTGCAGGAAGAGGTTTATACCGATTTATTTCTTCTGATTAAAATGATTTATAATTTATGTTAACTGTCACATTATGGTACTGAATTCTGAATGTTCCCGTAAAGTTTATGTTATCATCGTTTATTCAAGCAACACATTTAATATAATTAAGAAATAATGTTCAGAGAGAATTTCCACTAAATATGGAACATGCATGTCTGACATTTATGACGCTCAGGTTGAGTTACGTTTTAGAAAAGAAATTAGCTGTTCTATACTGTAGTCAAATTGGATGAATGTGTGTGTGTAAAAAGTAGGAAATGATATAGGAAATTGATAACTGTTTTCCTCTCCTATTGTGAAAGATATTTGATTTTCAAATGCGTAAATGGGCGTTTCTACAGAGGAAATTAGGTTATGTGATGCACTTTCATCACTATGGGCAGTAGATGTTATCGAATTGATTTGAGCCTGAGGAGCTCTAGAAAGGGCGTCTGCAACGACGTTCGCTTTTCCTGGTTTATAGAGGATTTCATAATTATATTCCCTAAAAATGGCCTTCCACCTTTTCAATTTGTTATTGTTATTCTTACTGCTCAACCCATACGTGAGCGGTTGGTGGTCGGTGTGGATCTTTACTTTGGCCGAATCATAGAGATAGCTTCTGAGCGTATTAAGTGACCAAATAATGGCCAACATTTCTTTTTTGTTTGTGGCGTAGCTTTTTTCTGTCTCGGCCTTGACTTAATACCGCGTCGATAGCGTAGTCCGATGCGTACGTTGTTAAATGAAATTCTTTATTGTAATCAGGATAGGTCAGTATAATGTCACCAGAAGTTAAGGGTTGTTATTTTCGAAGGCATTTTTTGGTCTAAGACAATTGGTTTTTTTTGAAGACTGGGCCTTGGACGTACGTCCATCTTCCCCTCTCAAAAGATTTGTAAGAGGTTCTTGTGAGTTTCGCATAATCCTTTAAAAATCGTTTATATTACTTAGAGAGTACTAAAAAGGACCGCAAGTCCTTAATTGTCTTTGGTATTCGGAAATTTTCTATAGCTTCCACTTTAATAGGATTGGTTTTAATACCATCTGTCGAAACAATGAAGCCAAGAAAGTCCACGCTAGTTTTAAAAAATTCGCACTTGCCTAGTTGAACCGTTAGATTGGATTGTTCCAAAATTCCGAAAATAGTTTTAATGTTCTCTATGTGTTTCCTTTCTTTTTTAGAGAAGATTATTCTGTCGTCGAAATAAATATAACACATCGTTCCGATATAGCCTCTCAGAATGTCGTCAAGTGCACGCTAGAATATTGAAGGGGCGTTTTTAGCCCAAAAGCTAGTCTCAGAAACATGTTGACAAAATATGTTCAACAAAAAGGTAGTCTCATGTCGCGTTCTTTAAGGGGTATGTGATGGAAACCAGAGCGTAAGTTCAAAAGCGTGAAATATTCGTTTTCCCTAACTTGAAAAGAACCCCCTTTATTTCGAGTATTGGGCAGCGATCGCCTACCGTCACCTCATTGAGTTTGCAAGAGTCAATGACCATGCGATACTTTTTTTCTTTATTTTGATTCATTTTTTTTATTACAGCCCACACGTCTGAGTTGCACGAGGACCTGGAAGGTCGAATTGTTCTGTCCTTCAAAAGTTTTTTTGCCTGCTTTTCCACCTCGTCTTTCATAGACTTGGGGTACAGGTAATATCTACTATACGCGGTCCTATCCGTTGTTGTTCTTATATCACCCTTAACTCTTATGTTAAACGTTAACTTTTCTTCAGGTTCACAGAACAAACTGGAAAAGTGCCGTACTACTGCTTCTTTTTCCCTCTTTTGATTATTTGTCATATGGTCAGTGCGGACATTAATTGTGTTCACGATTTGGAGTCGGTGTCAATAAGAATTTTAGGGATTTATCGCTCTCCTCCTTGCATTCAAAGTAGGGCAGGAAAGAGCCACTTAATCTAAAAAATGGATATCCAAAATTTCCTTAAAGTTGGGTGGATTTTTACAAGTCGGTTCGTACGTGCCAGAGTCTTCCAAAGCTTTTTTTCCAGGAATTTCTTGTTCCTGTACCATATCATTATAAGTTTCTTCGTTATAATATGTCATGTATGCTGTTTTGTTATATAGTGATGTGTTCGTGGCGATTGTGTGAATGGTCTCTTTCCTAAAGTTTGATTTAGCATAGATCTCTTCATGTAATCTACTTTCCTTGTTTGGATACTTCTATCTACATCCATAGGTTGAGGGGGTGGCTGTCTGTTTTGAAAATTATGAAAGTTTGTTGGCCGTTTTTATAATTTTAATTCATTGTATTTTGTGATTGGTTATTATGGGCATATGGTCTTGATTGAAGTCTGTTGAAATTAGATTGTCGACTAATATTTGGAGGCTGTGGTATTAAAGCTAGCTGTAGGTAAAACGTGTTTTGTGGTTGCTGCCTCATTGGAAGGATTGGAGGAGCAGCGTTCGGCGGTTTTTGTCTAAATTTAAGTCTATTGTATGTGAATTTTAAAAATTTTGATTTTCCAGTTTAGTGCACAGATGCAGAGCCTGTGACAAATCTGCAAGCTCGTACATTGCAGGAAGCCGCGGCAAGTCTACTTCTAAACATGACAATTTGTCTAAAATTAATGATAAAAGGGAATATGCTGCTTGATAAAAGTTTTGGACTGTCCTGTTAACCTGGACCAAGGATGTTGAAGAAGAACTGATATTCGAAGGTCGTGATGTCTTGTTTGTCCTCGTAGTGTAGATTTAGACATCTATAAATCGTTTTCCAGTTCGTAGACGTGATATGAGATTCTAAAGCCATATCGGAATTTCCCGTAATTTTATTTAGGATCACGCTAAATATCCCATAATTGGGATTAAGTATATTGCTTACCACTTGAGGTCCCTCTAACCAATTTTGATATTATGTGTTTATTGTTATCAGGCATTAAGTTTGTGGATAAATTGAAGAGTCAAGAAAATTTTTATTCTTGTTTTGAGCAAATATCTGGCCAAATTTTAATTTCAAATACTTTTCTTTATTAATTTATTGAGTTGATGATGTATGATTTTCTTTGGGAATTTAATTAATATTAATTAGTTTAATTTTATTTACTTTGTTCTAGAATTTCCCTAGTAGTTAAATTTTTCGAGATACTTGTTGATTTTTTTTTCTTCTTTCCTTTTTTTGAATATTTTTATTAAACTAGAGTGTTGAGTTAAAATCGATAATTATTAATTTATTACGAGTATAGCTCTCTATTTATTTAAATTGTGTTTTTTATTTATTAATAAACTTTATGTATTGAATAAATTAAATAAATTTATGAATTGAATTTTTCAATTTTAAATTGTAATATATTTTGCACAAATATAGTTAAAAATTTTTTAGTTTATTTAATGAGTAAATTATTTTTGCAAATTTCAGAATTTATTTCTAAAATTTTTATATTTTGTTTGATTATTGGTTTGTAGTATTTTTTTTCTAAAAAGAATTCATAATTGAAGTGAAATTTCTTACAAAGTCGTGACGTAATAAGCTACGTGCACTTTTTGAACGATGAACGACTGCTGACTGCTCCTTTTTGCTGTCGCTACTGGGGGGCCTTATTATAATTAGTTAATATTGTATTAATTTAGTGCTTTGGATTTATAACAAATTATTCACATAAGCTCCAATTTTATTAAATTAAATTACTACAGTACTATTTAAGGTTCTTATTTAGTGTTACTTTTAGTTTTCAGCACTTTCCCAAAAAATGTTTGAAAAAAATGCCTATTAGTTTCACTCTGTCCGTCTGTGGACATGTTTACAAAACTTCTACATCTTTGAAGATAGAAAACTGAAATTTTATATGTATATAGAGCTTTATTAAAAACTTATTTCCGTAGAAGAAAATTTTTACCTATCTCCCGCCCTCTAAAAGCTATACTTACTCAAAACCCTAAAAATGCCATTTTCTAACTATTTATTGCAATGAAACCATAAACATTTTTCACATATTCCAAACGCAGAAAAATAGTAGCTGGCTTCTTCTATCGCGGCATACCATACTTGAATTTTACAACAAAATGACCGCTAAAATTTACCGTTATCTAAAGTTTGTTTTTCCAAATTCTTGATGTTGTTTTTTTTTAAGACCGTACGTTGTAGAAGTGTGAAATTTTAACGGTTTCTAGACTCTAATAAATAGTACATTTCGATAGTAAAAATTGTTTTTCTACTTCTACCGCCTCTTAAATTATCGCATTTGGTGGAATTGCATGGCAGTTTCGGTTAGCTACCACACAACTCCAAAAGCTAATTTTAAATATTTGGAAAAAATTATAGGTCAGATATATTCCTGCAATTTCGGTGGAATTGCTTGACAGGTTCGGGTAGCTACCATACAACTCCAAAAACTAATTTTAAATAATTGGAGAAATAAAAAAGTCAGATTCACGAAACTTGGCAGATGTTTCCAATTATAGGTCAGGCATATGCGTAAAGTTTCTATAGAATGGTTTCTCCGATTCGAGTTATATGTGCTCGATGCTAACAAGTACGGCTGAAACTTTTTTACTTGTTAATAATTAAATTTAAAACCCGAAGCTATTAACTACAAGCTATATACTTAAAATAGCCGATATTCTACATGCTAAAATATATACATAAGTATATAACATACAACAATCGAAATATTGTCATGTTTACTCGTATCAAAAAGAAGATTTTAGAACAATATATTACTTGTGTTATTATTCTTTGTTACGTTATTTCACAGGCAGCTAGCACTTGTTTGATTCACGGATTTTGACAGTAATTAAAGTAATGATAATTTACTGTTATATTATGTAAATTTGATCATTAGTTTTCAAATTCAAAATAGCTTACCTGGGTGAATATTTTTTATGTAACATTAAAACAAAATTCGTAACATAGAAATGTGTTTTATTCATCCAAACAACGTGCGAGTCCTAATTTTAAATTAACAAACATATTTTTCATTTCCCATTCATGTTGCATGTTATAATATTATCTGGTAAATATAAAATCAAACCTGTAAGAGTATGAAAAAATTATATTATAATTATTGCGGATAAAAGACTTTGGGTTATTATATTATAATGTATTATAACAAAAAATTTATTAGATTTCATTCTCATTTGCTTCTCAATAAACAATATTTTGTATATGTAATCTACGCTCGTATTTAGTATATGTAATACTATACGATGAAATTTTTAGATATACAGTTTAATTAAACGTAAGAATTTCTAATATTCACCTAAATTTGCAAGTTGATGCTTTTATAGTATTTTGTAATCCAGAGATTTTTAAATGTTTTGCTTTTTACTTATGAATTTTTTTGAAATGATTTTTTTGCTTGTTTTGCGAACTAAAGATTCAGAATCTTAACAAGCCTTTCATTAAAACTGCATTATTTTAGAGCATTAAATTTATATTCAACTGCGAATAGAAGTTTCTTTTATTTTCTCATGGGCATCGGTAGAGTACTTTTTAATGTTAGAGCGAAATGAATTAAGTGTACCAATTCACTGATCATTGGTAAATTTAAACAGCTGCGAGTCTACTCCGAATGAATGAACACAAAGGTCTCATTCTCCATTTTGACAAAATACTTCAGTAAGTACTGCAAAGAAGTCAACCTCCGCTTTTATTCTAGCAATCAGTAGTCCAGGAGGAATCGGTAATTCAATCTAGTATTTCGTAATTACACACAAAATGAAGGCTTCTCAATCAGCGCTGCATTAGAATTATTATAATAGAATTATTTTATTTATTAAATTATGTTAACTATTATGTATATCAGAATTTTATTTATAGTTTTCGACCAGATATAATTTTATAGTTTGTTAATGCTTAAAAGATTGAAAACCATTTATAGAAGCAAGTTAAATAATCTATTTTTACAATTTGAATTTTAATTCAACCCACACGGTAATAGAGATGAAAGCAATTTTAAAATACATTTCACCCTTGTTTATAAAAATATACATTACATAACCCGAAAAACCACCCAGCGTATATATAGAAACTTTCCCCCAATTTGATTTTTGAATTTAAGAAGCTGTGTGGTTTTTTTATCATTAAACATTTTTTATAAATCTCTACTAAATTTGACTTTTTGCACAATTTATACATTATTTCTCACTTTATGAATCCCCTGTGATATTATTGATACATTAATTGTGCATTATGATTTTTGTTTTAAACACCTGTTTGTATTTTATGTACCAATGTTTACATTAGGAAAAAAAGAAGAGAAAACCATAAGCAAGCAAAGCAGATGTTTTAATAACACGAAAATATTGTATTAAACTTTTTTTTTTATTATTTTTAGGTATGGTTTCAAAATCGCAGAGCCAAATGGAAGAAAAGGAAAAAAAGCACAAATGTTTTTCGAACACCTGGTACATTATTGCCATCTCATGCTTTACCTCCCTTTGGTGCAAATATTACCAATATAACAATGACAGAGGGGTTGTGTGGGACATCAATGTTTGGAGATAGATGGGGAGTTGGGGTTGGTTCAATGACTGGTGGTAAGCGTGCTTGCTATTATAGATATTATTTATAATACGATTAATATACGTAGTAGATTGTTTATAGCAAATTTTAATTTATTTTATACATTAATTGCAATTAAAAGATTAAGTACATGTATAATACGAGTATGCTTAAAACACTATTCTTGTATATAAAATATTACAGGAATATACAGCTTTTATTAGGTGATTCGTTTATTATTTCCTTACTATAACCTATAGTTTACGGCAATTAAAATGAGTAACAATTTTGTTTGGGTGGCAAGGCGTCAAATTCAACTGGATTTTCGAGATACTGTCATTTTAAGAAAATCTGATAAAATATTCACTTAGGCGAATATTTAAGCTGCCTTCCAAGAAAAGCAAAACTTTATATCAATTTATATCTTATGTTATATTTCACGACCTTTTGTACAATAATTGTAAAAGGTAAATAAATAAAAACTTTAATAATAGTCTATCTATAACTTGTTTTTTAAGAAAGTATAGCAAAAATAATAAACAAAATTTGAGTATATCGTTTTTAATAAATTTTTTTAAAGTTCGCAGATAAATACAAGGGACGAACTCTTACTTTCTTTTACATAGATATTCATACGAGGTCCTTGCAGTGAATACTGGAAAAATGGATATATTTTAAGTTTTAGTCTTATACTTTTAAAAATTTTCCAAGGTGGTTACCATGCAGTTTAATCTTGTTTTTTTTACTTTAGCAACGCTAGATACATTAAAACCGAATAAATAACCTCAAATAACAATATTTAAATTGTAAAATTGTTTCCATGCATAATCTATATCAGTGATTCCCCAAAGTGGTCTATACTAGGGGTCTACGAAATATGAATTTATTTAAATTTCTCACATCATAGATGTACCTTGCTACTGTTACAAATTTAAATCTCTTAATGAAATTAGCAGGGGGTCTATTAAAAATTGAAAAGCACTATAAGGGGTCGAGATAAATAAGTTTGGGAACCTCTGATCTATATCAACGTAAAAGTTTGTAGTGAGTTGGAAATACGTTGTCATTACTCATTGAAAGTTTTCCTAACTGGGTTTAAGGTTATGATAGCTTTGCGTGTTAAATTAACCTATTATATTTGGTTTGTAAAATTATTACTATGTAAAAGTGAAACGTTATATAGATGATTTATAAACCTTAATAAAACATGCGATTTTAGTGTTATATAATAATATAAAATTAGAAATAGAAGAGAACTAAGAGAATGTTGAATTAGAAATATGACTATCAAGGTTGGAGCTGTGATTATTGCAATGGAAGTGGATAATGCTAGGTAGCATGTTTTACGATTTTCTCTGATATGAAGTAATACCTAAAAATTTAATTAAAGTACATTATTATGTTTGTCATCGAATTAAAAAAAAATTGAAAGTTTCAAGTGAATACAATAAAAATTCTAAATTTTTAAGATAACTAATTTTTTTTTTAAGAAAAATACATTCATAAGTATCCAAAAATTAAAGGAAATAACCTCAAATTCTATTACCTCAACTTGCGTAATATATTTCTTAAAAAGCTTTTTTTTCATTTATTAATGTTTAAAAGCTACTAAAATTTTAGACATATAACTGGTATTACTTTTCTGCTTTTACAAAATTTGAAAAATGTTTTTCAATATTTGAAAAATTTAAATTCAATAATCAAAAACTGGGATTTCTAACTCTCTGAGGGAAATTTCTAAGATTCTTTACTTTTAGACGGGGAAAATAGGTAAAAATTCTCCTCCACATAAATAAGTTTGTGGCAAAGATGTATTAAAACATATAAAATTTAATTAATTATATGTAATGGGTATATATGTCGACTTTTAAATTAGAGGTGTAAACGTTTTGTAAAACGGGCAGACTATTCGTCTACTCGATCCGAGTGAAACTAGGAAGCATTTTTTTTCTAAAACTACAAAAAAAAAACATTTCATGAAAGAAACTGCTTTTCTGTACAAACTGTACATTTCATGAACTTTGAAAGCATGTAGATATACAAATCAAACAAGGACTGCCTACTGAAGACGGACGAAGGTAACGCGGCTAAGTTTTCTTTTCATACCAATAATAACAAAAAAAAAACTAGAAACGTCTTGGCCGACCTTATCCCACTGAATTATGCCCTACACTAGAACAGCTGAACAAACTCTTTATAACTAATGTTTATGGCTTAAATGAAGGATAGTAATAGCTTTTTAATATTTATGAGGGTGTGGTTACAATATATAATTTCACAAATAAAGATTTCTATCTTATTCAAGACCTCAATTAGTTTCTGGATAATTTGAAATTAGCTATCAGGATTATACAACAGCTATCCGAATCTGTGAAGCCATTTATTAAAGCTTCTAAGATATGTTGGACTTATAATAAATTTTTTTTTATTATTTTTTACTACGTTTTTCTCAACTTCATTTCTTGTTTGCTTGTCCAGAAACAAAATATTTGGATTGTTTTTTTGTATTTTGGGAAAGTGCTTTTTAGAAAGGTCCCAATCACAGCCTCGAATTGGCTCCAAATAGGGTTTCGGACCTCAAATAACCCATCCAGCCAAATTTAAAAATAGAAGGTTCAAAAGTTTTAAAATATTTAAATTTATGATGAGAGGAAATATTTTTATGGTTATCTAATATATCTATCTAATAATAAAATAAGTATCTAATATATTATATAAGTCTAATTTAGGCTGGGATAGAAAAAAACTATTTTCTTCTTTTTAGTTCGTCAGAAAAACGTATTTATGTTTTACAGATTTTATTCTAGGGTATACTGAAATGTTTAAAATTAGCTGTTATTAGAACGAGTACCTGTTTTGACAAATGACAGTCGTATTTCGTTTAATTTTGGAAAAATTTAATATAATATTTTTGAGTTGTATGGCAGCTTCCCGAAAGCCTTTTTCAAATTGTTTGGCTATGTTTGCTGTGCGAACGAACGTGCAAGTACTGGTGAAAATGTTAATGGAATCCTGCATATTTCAATTCACGTATGTATATAACACTACACTCTTGTTTTTCAAAACCGCATTCTCACAACTAATATTAAACTTTCGTCTACAGAATACACGTTCCAGCAAATTCCACAAATTTCCACAAAATAATGTAACTCTACAACTTAGTTTGTCAAAATCGAATACTCATAATTAAACTTTCATTTACACAAATTACATGTTCTTGCGAATTCAATGAATTTGTATGCTAATTAACTATCTAAACTTACGTAACACTAAACTTTTCTTTCCGGAGTTAAATTTCTACAAATCAATATTAAGCTTTCACTAATAGAACAGAATATACAAATCCGGCTTATTTGCAATTACCACTGATAAAATTTTTGTTTTTTCAATTTTCATTTCCACAAACAACTGCTGCCGAACAAGCAATTAGAAACATATAACTACGGTAGAAATAATTACACAAACTAAGTTCTTATTTGAAGTGACCGAAAGGATTCCGCGAAAGGAATCAAAGTTGTATATTAAATTTGAAAGAAGATTTAAACTCATTTTTATTAAAGATTAGTTAATTAAAAAAGTTGTAGAACAATAAAATTTAATATGAATTATTTAATATTAAATAAAATGAGTGAATTGTCAAATCTATAAAATAAAAACAACATAATATTATAATATTATATTGTATAATATAAAATAAATAAAATTGGGTATATAACCATTCAAATTAAATTTGATAATAAGAATTAACAAATCAAATCTGTAAATTCCCAAATCTGAATAAAATGGCATAATTATAAATAAGAGTGTGGAGAACTGAAAAACTTTTTTTTTATTTAAATTAAAACCGAAAATAAATTTTTTTTCCTGAGCTTAAAATTGGTATATCTGCTCCATCTATATTATATGTTATATTGTAAAAGTTAAATACGTTGACGCAAACATCGTTTATTCTCGTTAACATTATTCATTTTCCGAAAAAGAACATACAAAAAGAAAATGAGAAAAAAAATTTATCAATTCCCCTAATATTTTAGTTAACGTTTTTATATCTAACAAGTCCAAAATTCCAATACTCAATTGGTCTAATAGTCTAATATTTTTTTTTTTCAATTCCATTGACCGTGATTTCTTATTATTTTTTTTTTTTTTTAAAAAAAAAAAAAGAATTTATTTTTTTAACAAACCAATTGTTTGTATTGTACCACTTTTCCTTCAACAATAAAAATACTGCTTTTAAATACAGTCTATGTATACCTACCATACTATTAAAATTATTTTCATTCATATATGAAACTATTTCTAGGATTATATATATTAAGGATGAACCATTTATGCAGTTTTTGAAATAAAGCAAAAATTAATTTAAAGATGGTTAACATAATGCTAGATTTTAATTGCGTGAGTTAAGAAAAATAATTATACTTTTTAATGTCATGGAATTTACCGTTAGCTTCTTGCGTTTATAGAAATTTGAAAAAGCTCACGGTTTCGGAAATATAAGGGGTCAAAATTTCAATTTTTACAAATTTCGTGGGACGATAACATGAGAGGGGGTGGAGATGGAAAAAATTTTCTTCTAACGAAATAACTATTTGTTAGTGTCTAACAGCTGCTAAAATTTCATTTCCTACAACTGGGGGTCTAAAAGGAAAACGACATCAAAATTTTGGAAAAAACTTATTTAGGCAACGGTAAATTTGAACGGCCATTTTGTTTTTTTAAACTTTAATTATAGTACACCGCGATAGCAGAAGCAAGCCACTGTCTTTCTGGGACTGCAAAATTTGAAAAATACTTATGGTTTCACTGCAATAAATAGTTAAAAAATGTCATTTTTAGGGTTTTGGGGGGTATAACTTCTAGAGAGTGGAGATGGGTAAAAATTTTCTTCTACGGTTTTGTAACAGTTTTGTAGAAGTTTTGTAAACATGTCCACGGACGGAAAGAGTGAAACTAATAAGCACTTATTTTCAAAAATTTTTTTGAAAAGTGCTAAAAATAAAAAAGAAAAAATTTTTCAAATTCATATTTCAAT